TTTGACAGGGTGGGCAGTAGAGATATAGGTCGGTAATTACATTTGTCTTGTGGGTCGCCTTTTTTAAAAATCGGTATAACATGTGCATATTTCCAAGTTTCGGGGAAGAGGCCATGACAAAGTGACAAATTAAAGACAAAGGATATATGATCTGCAATTAGAGGGGCAATAATTGTAAGAAAATGGTTGTCGATATTGTCGTAACCATGGGCCTTGCCAGTATCCAGGTTGTTGATAAACAGTAAAACTTCATCAGGGGAGGTAGTGATGTGGCAAAGCCGACTGGATGTAAGGTAGTCAAAGGCCGGGAGGGAGGCGTGTGGATCGTCAATAGTCGACTGGGAAACAAAATACTGGTTTAAGATTCTAGCCTTCTCAAGCGAGTCAAAGATATAAGAACTGCCCTCCTGAAGAGGTGGAATGGAGGTAGAAACCTTCGGTCTGTAAAAATATTTGACAACATGCCACCATTTTTTACTGGAAATGGATGGGTCATTAAGCGACTCTATGAGACGTTGGTAATAATTGGATTTGTTAGTGGAAATGAGGTTGTTGAGTCTGTTGCGTACCTTACGGTATGCAACCCAATTTGCATGTGTGTTGAGACGCCGGGCTTGTTTGTGTAGTTTGTCGCGAGAGCGCATAAGTTTACGAATTTCTGTGGAAATCCAGGGTTTATCTTTCGGTCTGTATTAATTATTTTTTTGCGTGGGGACGCACTGTTGCTTGGCTTCGAGAATGAGCTCGCATAATTTTTCGGCGGCTGAGTCTACAGATGAACAAAGAAAAATATCATTCCACTTGAAGGAAGAACAGAAAGACAATAGCCTCTCTTTATCTATATGTTGATAATCCCAGATAGTACGATGATAAGGTTTCGGTGTATAAGGAGACAAGGACATAGAACAAATGGTCGGGCAGTGATGACATCCTGACAAGGGGGCATGGACTGTAGTAGAATCTACATAATTAGTAGCATCCGTAAAGATCAGGTCAATGAGGGAGGGGTTTTGAGAAAGATCACAAGATCACAAGAGAAAGATGGTCTGATATCTGAAGATCGGTGAGAAGGAACTGTACGATATTTGGCAGATTGATGGATGGGGCCTTGGAGATTGTGTAGGTTGACTTTGAGCCCCTGGTGATTGACCTTGGTACTGCAGTTTAATTTTTTTATTCTGTTGTTTTCGCGTTATGGACTGTTTGTGCGATATTAAGGTAGCATGCAGTTGTTATTACCATGGTTTAGTGGTTTAAATTTGGGTCCCCTAGCTGTTTGCGTTTGATATTTACAAAATGTTTAATGTTGGACTTTTTGTGTTGAATGTTTGGAAATCTGGGGGATGGTTTGGTATAGCTTTTTGGTATGTGGGTAGTTGTTGAGTCTCTTTGTGTTTTGGAGTGCATTAGCAGGTTGTCGCATATTTTTATTGCTTAATTTAAAGGATTTTCACTTTTTCACCCCTACTTTATAATAGAATGGTCTGTTTGACCCAAAAGTTGGGACAGAGTGTTTTTGTTTATACCTCCAGCTGGCAGGTCAGACCCAGGCAGCCCTATCTATTTTTACCCCTAGACAGAGTCTGCAGGAAAATAAATCTTGTTTGTCTGGTCTGCAGGTCATTTTGCCTGTGTGGTCATTGACCTACATGTACAGGCAAATGTAGCCTGGGTACCATCCCCAGTAGTATATTCGCAAACTCTATAACAGTTATAGAGTTTGCGAATATACTACTGGGGATGGTACCCAGGCTAAGGCAAATGACCTGCTGGCCATCAAAGTAAACAAACCATGGTAACAAGACACTAAACGCCTGCACATGACAGCTTGATAAATACAAAGTGCCACCACAAATCATTCTGCTGATAAAAACAAAGTTTGACTCATAATATCTCTATTGAAATACACCAAAAGATTACAAAATAACAAGCTATTTCATGGAGGGATGATGTCTACGACTTCTCCTTGTTTGTTCCTGAGTGCTCTTTCCAAGAAGGCAGCTTGACGACGATAGCGATAACGACAGAGTGTCTTTTGATTTGGTCGGTATCCCCTCAGGCTACTTTTTGTAAGTAATGGCGGCGTCTGTTGTTTATTGGCAGATAATGATTTGCTACCGCCCTTTTGTCTTTGACTGCATTTCAATGGACGCTGTTGTCACTCAGAAATTTGTTGAGTGGATGTGTTTTTGTATGTGTGGATGAAGATGTAGTTAAGCATTGTACAACCACCCATTGGGAATAAGCCCAGTCTTTGGCGCATTCCAATATAATGACTTCAAATTATCTCGCACCTGTATGTGTTTACCTGTCCACATGAGTGTGTTTTTTGTCTTCTGTGGTGTATTTGCGGTTACTAGAGATGTGTACCTTAGCAGGCATTGTAACTGTGCCTGAACTATTTGTTGAAATATGATGGGCGATGTACAATACGTACAGCACCATGTTTGAACCGATAACAAATGATTTTTAAAATGCTTCATTGCACAGTAGGGAGTACAGGCAGATGACTTGTGGCATTCTTATCTTATCTGCATGCATGAAGGATCATGCCCGTAGCCTGGGGGATTCAAGGGTTTCGTAAGAACACCCCCTCCCCCCACACACACAAGGCTCAAAGGTCCAATTTTTCAACTAAAGGTCCACGATTGTTCTTAAAGGTGGACTGATTTGTATCACCAGCAGGACTGGAATCCTAGAAAAAACATGGAAAAACAGATCAATTTGTGATTGAAATAAAAGTTATCTCTGAAAGTTATCTTCCTTTGAAAAACTTAAAAACGCAGGAAATGCCATTTCGGAAGGTTCACCTTTCCCCAGACCCCCATAGGAATCTCGCGACTTTTGCGCCCGCTGGTCCCTCAGATAGTGGGAAGACCCCCTTCAAAATCCGGGCTACGGGCATGATGATGTAATCTACATGTATAATCTGGTGACTGCGCCTGGTCTTAGTCATATACTTAATCATAACTACGGAGGATAACACCCAGGCCACCGAAGCTCCACAGAACTCTAGAACTCAGCAGTGCTGCACGCTACAGTCCCATAAATGCTGCAAAAGGCCAGCATGTTCCGACATGTTCTAAAATAGTTATGTACAAATTTCAAAACGCAACATTCGCAATAACAGCTTTGTATTCCTGTTGTGTAGCAGCAATTTTGGGGCGATGGGCGTTCGCATTAGTTTTAATTTGGGGTCTTCTTCGGAGGATTTTATTCATACATTATGTAAGTGTACGTGTGTGTGCAATTACTAGTATCAACTCAGACAAACTTTGATGCTACCGTATTAATAAACTTATGCGAGCGGGCGTATATATTGTGTTTATTGACTTCGTTTTACATCAAAACAAATGGCAGCTTCCTTTGCTAATATGCAAAGAGGCTGAATTGCGCATTTTAAGCATTATCTATATTAGTCAAATAAGTCAAGCATGATCTACATAGCAACATAACAAACTTACTTGCCCACCACATGAGTAGCATACCCCAACTCCTTCAGCTTCTCCGGTAGGAAGGGGAAATGTGACGGGACCCCAGATGGCTGCGCCGGAAGCATGGCCATGTGCTAACAAACACAACACACAAAACCTCACATATTTTCTATTTCTAGAGTCTAATTTGTTTGACACTTTTTCGTTCGCTATAGCTCCCGTTTATAAATGAAATGAAATACATTTATTGTACATTCATGCCTCGACGGGCAAGGTACAGGTCAAGACTTAACAGACACATAAGAAACGTATGTAGAAAAGTGAGACAAAAGATACACTACTGATACGATAATGCTTTAAATGCTACCCGTATACGAGAATATTACACGACTCACCTGCATACCAA